TGAAAAAAGTCATTCCTTCATTAAAGACGCATTGCTTGAACATAATTGCTAAATATGATGTTTCTTACCAAGAGACTAAGAGATGGAAAAGGTTCACTCCTAAAATTCATCACGGTTTGATTGCAAAGGCCATTTCAAAGGGTAAATACGAAGAATGCTGCAGCGAATGTGATTTTATAATTGTAGAGCCATTTGCAGAAGCATTTGAATGGTGGGACATTCTTCAAAATAAAGATGTTCCAATAAAAAGAGAATTTTGCAGTGGGAAATGTGTCAAGAAATGGGAATTAAGGGTCCTCATTAGTACGAATAAGGATGAATCATAGACCTTATAATTATTATATTTATATATATCTATAGAGATTCTTAGATGTTGCATAGGTGATGAATATATCATAGCATTTTAACATAGTTTCCTGGGAACAAACCGACTTCATCATCAATACTACCTTTCCACCAGCCACCTGATTTATCAAATATTTTAATGATTGCACCCGCTTTAAATGAGAGGTCGCCTTCTTGTTGACCTCTAAACGAAAATATTGCTTGACAGTATTTATAATCCGGATCGTAGTTATTGATTGATGTTCTTTCGGGTTTGAAGAGAGGTGGTGATTCTGTTAGTTTACCGAAGAAATTTTCACGAAAATTGATAATGGATAACAGGTTTAATAAGTCGCTTGCAACTATATTCTTTGAATTGAATTGTTCAATTATTCTACAACCATTAGTATCTTTTTTTAATTCTTCCAAATCGATATGAAATATATCTTGAATTGATAACAAATTAATATTTATTTGATATGATACTAAAAGCTGGACGTAGTAAGTCCGAAGTTGGATCGGCTGCAAAATTGAATCTACCAATTTGAAGAAGAACGGCAATTCTTTTTTTAGTAAATCATTAAGATTAGTATAAATCACCTTATTTCCTTCTAACTTTCTTTCTAAATTATGCATCTGTTGAGATTGTTTAATCGATAATTCATCTGTCTTCTGCCTTAACGCCAAACTTTCATGGGTGTTGTATGTTTTATCGTAATCCATTAAGGCGTAGTTACGATTTCTAATATGTTTCTTTATAAAGCTTATTAATCTAAGCATTTCTGAAACTCTGTCCTCTACCATAGTTCCAAGTATTTCAATTTCATTCTTAATGGATGGTTCGATGGTTTTAGTGCATTCCACGTAAGATGCACAATTTGACCATGTTTCATACTCTTCTCGAAATATAGACTGCCTTGATGCTGACAGAAATATGCTTTCGTTTTGAGAATCAAAATTTCCATTCCCTTCAAGTTTTGTCTTTATTGAATTCGGCAAAGTATTATATGGATCAAATAGTTGCTGGAGGAATAGCCCTATATTTTTTGAGTGCATTAAAACCTTGAGAATACCAGAGCAATATCCCGAAGTGTATTTGCTTAAACAATTCAATTTTTTCTCAATATATAATAGATTACTCTCCAACTCGACAAAAACTTCATCAACGGTATATGACTCTAAATTAGCCTTTCGTCTCAATAATTGAGGAGTTCTTTTAATGCTGTTCCAATCAAAGTGTTCCTTGGTTGAGGTTTTAAATTTTTTATCTGCAACTTTCAATTGTTTAGATACAAGCAACGATATTTGGTTCATGTTGAGCACCTGGGGATTAACTTTCATATTTTGCTGTTCCATGTTAACATAACTTGGATATCTCTAGTGAATATTTTTGTCTAAAATTATAATATAAAATGGATTTGTGAATTTCGCAACCAAAAATACAAAAATCTATTATTTCTATAAAATGTACACAGAATATATTTACTTTCCTTATGGGTGACCATGATTCGAACCTGGCCATGCAAAGATCTTTTCAGGGCCCGGTGTTGTACTTCGACTACTATTCGAACCATATTCACTATCTATTAATTCAACAACGCTACTGGAAATTTCCAGATCTTCAATAGCTCTTAATTTTTTTCTGAATGCGTTTTTAACACTTTCACTAATATCATTAGTATCATTAAGCTCATTTCTAATTTTAGAGCCATTCTCTTCAACAATTCCACTTAAGCTTCGCATCAATCTATTTCCAAATATTTTGTCTGTAGGCAAATTGGCGTATATCTTTTGATGCAAATTCTTGACAACACTTAAATTGGATAGAACCTTGTTGAAATATTCTTCCAGTTTAGAATCGTCGATTTCACGGTCAGCCTCTCGTGGGGGATTGACTAATAGCAATGCAGCATAATATAACATAATGTGAATATGGACAGGAACATATTTCAAATTATTTAGAATATCATTATCGTTAAGAACTAAATTCAAAACCGTTTGGGCAGCATTGATCGCAATACTGGCACTAACGATAGTCTCATCATCAGATATGTGATCTCTATTGGAGATAAACTCTTCATCATCGGATTCATCTTCTGAATCTACGTCACGATGGGTGATCTTCTTTTGTTGTGGCGCGTGCTGCCTCACTGACAGATTCCATTTAGGAAACATACTTCTTTCATCCGCTGTATCCACTTGAAGTTGTCTAACTGCAGACGAATTTATGTGCATTTTTGCAAAGTTATAGTAAATCAAAGTCGATTTAGATGACCACACAGAGCCATTACTAACAGGTGATAGTAAAACCGTCCATGAAACCATCCATTTGTCTAACTCCAAATTTGATTTAGAGGGGATTCCCAAAGCAGATGGTGCTAAAAGTTCCCATGCATTACCCTGGAATGCTTCATTCAAAGCTTGGTTATATTCAACCTGAGAGACCAAACGCATATCAGTGAATCTTTGTTTATATGCCATTTCTTGATTCTGGGCATCGTCAGGAACTATCTTTGTTTCTTCTTGCTTCTGGAGAATAGAATTATCGTTTTTGTCTTCAATTTGAGCCACTGAGGACAGTAAGGCTAAATTTCTTTCTCTCAATAATATAGATCTACTGTTTTTGAGAGAATATTCCTGAGAATTAACCAATGGTTGTCTGTTAAATGTCAAACTCTGCTGTCCATCCAAGACATATAGTAAATACCATAATTTTATTCTATCTTTTTCATTAAGCGAACCCTTTGAATCATGGTTCGATACAGGAGAATCCAATCCAATTTCTTTAGCTAATTGTAACGCCAATCCGGTGAACATTTGTGAGTCAGAAAGCCAGAAACTGCAGAGTATTAATGCTACAATCGTATTAAAGCCATCAACTTCATTCTTCGGTTTGCCTTGGTATAATAATTTCCCACATAATACATGTAAGTAGCCATGTAATTCTTTCAGCTTATGAGATAATTCCTTGTTCGGGTGATGCATTGAGGCTATCGTACAAATAGCACATATCAATATAGGTGATGATTCCCATATGGAATCAACCGCAAATCTTGAAATTTCGAACCCAAATAATTGAGGCGATATATGGGCGTCGAAAAAGCTAAAAAGTTCCCTTGCCTGATGAATATCCAAGAATCCATCACGGAAATCTTCTGGCCTATTGTCGTTTTCTCTATCACTCCTTTCTCCTCCTTTATGTCTTTTACGAGAGTCAAGCTCATTAGATTCATCGCTAATGCGCTGCCTTCTTTTCTCATGGCCAGCTGCACCTCGGGGATCATGATAATTAATGTAATGCAAAGTTTCGTCTTTCGTTTGATGCATGTTCGTCGGAGAATGCGAGACCGAGGAAGGTATCGAACCATAGTTATGTTCACCATTTTGTAAAGTGTTCTGTGGACGTGGTGCCTGTTGGTACGGTATTTGTTTCTGATATGTCATCTGTTGTTCAAGAAGAACTCTCTGGTTTGTCTTCAAAATATCCACTAAATCATTCAACTTATTATCAAAAACACTAATTCTATTCTCTATCAGCTGCTTCCATTGTGCCTCGTTATCCTGCGGTGACATTCCGCCAGTAGGACCCGGTACCGCTGGCATACCTTGTTGAGGTACTGAATGAACCATATATGTTGGTTGCATTCTATTGACTTGACTTGTCTGTACATTCGCTATTGGATTCAACGGTGGTAGCGTTATTTCGCTTTCATTTTTCCCACGGTCATTATTATGCAGCGGAGTGATCTGTGGTAGCTTTAATGATGGAAGTTTAGGTACAAATTGACAATTAACTGCTTGCCCACTCTTTATACATCGTTCACAAGGTAGCGTACTGGAATATATACATTTCACTTTAGATTTCTTACAATTTGAACATGGCTTTGTTCTCTTTTCTTTAGCCATAATACCCCTGGTATGATATATTTATTTTCACTATAGTGTAGAGAAAAGAATAATAGTCCAATGATGCCAAAACTGTAAAATTTCGTTTTGCGCTGTTTTCTACAGAACTTCCCCGGATAACATAATTAATATTATTATATTCTACTAAGTCATTTAAAGAGTATTGATTACTAAATATTAGAAGAAAAGTTTATAGTTTGAGTAGAAGAATTAAAAATGTCCATGAAAGTTAAGATTAGATCGTTTTTTGGGTCCTCAAGACAATACGTCGTTACTGGGGCATCTAGCAATCCCTCTAAGTTTGGTTTTAAGATCTTGCTGTGGTACATACGCCACGATTTGCCAGTTGTACCTATTAACCCCAAGTCTAAGGAAATATTAGGACAGGAGGTTGCTCCATCAATCATTCCAGTCGTGGAAGCTATAAAGGACAAGAAGAATTTGGGATCCCATAAGCTTGCAAATGCAGACGGATTGAGTATTTCATTTTTGACTCCGCCAAACATTACGGTTGCAACATTACAAGAAATTGCAAGTGTTGAAGGGTATCAAAATGTGATCAAGGGCTTGTGGTTTCAACCTGGTAGTTACGATGGAACAGTGATTGAAGAGGCCAAGAAGATTGGCTTATTTGACCTTGTAATATTCGAGGATGAATGTATATTAGTCAGAGGTGAAGAAGGGTTATATAGCGCTAACTTATAGGTAGATAGTCTCCTATATATTCGAGTAGTAGCTAGATCACATATATGGTATTTTATGTTACACGTTTAGTCTAGCATTTTTTTGATGTAGTTGCCCCAACTTTCGTCCTCGCCGGCGGTGTAGTTCATATTATCCGGAGCTTTCCGTTCCACATCAATAGAGTAGGGAAATGGTGAACTATCCAAGGACGTTATGGGGGGAATGTAGTCCTTTTGACTATCTGCTATGTCTATAATTTTCCTCATATTATTCTCAAAACTATTTATTGAAATAGCAATGTTTTGCTCATAGCTTTCTTTGTCAGTGACTTTTATTGGTCCTGGCGTCTTTTCTGACACCTGCTTATCCCTCCCACTTTCTCTGATTATTGGCAAACATTTTACGTTGATTGTCCATGATTCCCACAATTTGAGGTCTTCAGAGTCGCTACTTTTGCCTTGACCAAACCAGCCGGTCTTCTTTTTGGACTTTGTAACCTTCTTATCGAGGAACTGTATTACAACTTGGCCCATTTTCGGTTTTTGTTCTTGATTCTGTACGGTATTATCATCAAACTTCTTTTTAATCAATTGATTGATTTTTTCGTCTATCAAAGAATCCAAATCTGGTAAATCAGAAGTCATTGGATATGTTATGGTAAGAAACTCATTGGTAGTCGGTGTTATCGGCCCGAATAGTCTATGAAAGAATATGGTCCATATTATACCTGAAGTGTTAGTAAACATGTTGAGAGTAAATATTTAGCAGTGATTGATTACGTACCCTTCAACGATTCTCTTACGACAGATCTTTCAGCTGTCAAATTTAGTATATATTCCATAATTCTATACTATTCACAAGTTTATGCTCTTATATGGATTATATATGAAGACGAGATGTATATTTATTGCTATAAGCTCAATTCAAATCAAAAAATCCTTATCTCACAGTTTTATTAAATGCTTGTATGACATCAGCAATTATTTTTTTTAGCATCCTCTATTAACCATTTAGGTGTTAAAATTATATTTGATTATAGAGGTGACTGTCTATGCTGTAGTTGAAGAGTTTAGGAACATTCAAAAAAATGAAAGTGATATCGTTTATATGCTATTTCTATGTACACTAAATAATATTAGACAGTATATACGGTTAGAGGAGTAATCACTCGTCGATAGGTGATAAATTTCGATTACTTTTGCCTCTTCTTCTTAGGCTGATTTGGATCGGACTCTTGTTTGTCATAAATGTACTTTCCATCTTTCATTTCTTGCAATACATTTACTATTTGAGGCATCACATCATAAGTCAATACCTCTTGTTCCAATGGAGTGAAAGGGGATAAAACATAGTTCGATAAATCCTTTGCAGTCGGCTTACCAATACCAATAGATATTTTTGTGTATCCACCTCCCATCAACGAGTCAATAGATCTCAAACCATTGTGCCCTCTGGCACTACTAAGCTGCTTTCTTATTTGAAACTTACCAAATGGCACCTGCAACTCATCATGGAGTACTACCAATGCTGGCGAACGGGCTGTCTTTTGGTAATTGCTAATTTTCTGCCAAGTCTTACTAACAGGTGCTCCTTGCAAGTTCATAAACGAATATATTGATTTGAAAAGAAACACATCTGATAGGTCTTCCACGCTCGACGTGCTATACACACCATCAGGAATATTCTTATGGGATTGAAATTGATTGAAAGATGTCCAATGATTGGTTATCAACTCATCGAGAGCCCAATGTCCTACGTTATGTCTTGTTCCTTGATATTGAGGTTCTGGGTTACCAATTGATGCAATCATCAAAAATGGTGGCTTTTCGGGTTCTAAAGTACTAATAGATCGCCTAAAATCTGTACGTATATAACGGTTAAGTAGCTCCCTAGCCTTGTAACTTATTATTTGTACTGGCATCATTAATATTAATAGAAAGAACTGAAGCATTATTACTTCTCAAATAGAAAATTTAAATCCATATTCGCGTATATTCTTATCAACCGAAAATTTCTTCAATACTTTCGATGCTCCATGTCATTATCATTCTCAAAACACATTTTTGAGTAAGACATTGAGTATTTAGTTTGATAGATATATATGCATTGGATTGGGAAGAACACTGAAAAACCTTTGGATTTCTGTGTTTTCAAGTATTAGGAGTTGTTCTTAAGCTTACTTATATACAACCTCAAATTATCCTACATTACAATCATTCCTATATTTCATACGAACTAATTTATAATAAAGATTATGAGAGGAAAGAAAACCCTTGGTTTTCCTGAAATGCATAGCCTAAGCCAATGAGCCAATAATGGTGTAAAAATATCTACTATTACGCTTGAAATACATACTAAAAACCAATAGTTACTTGTATGTAAAGGATTATTGCTCTTTGAACTCAAGTTCGCATACTCAGTAATATAATGATGCAAATATTATTATTACTATTATTATTATAAGCTAGTTGTAAATAAAGTTAAACGTATTGTAGCAAATTTGCCTGTATAGCATATCGGCTGCAAAATATGCGCAAGGGGGAGCTTCAAGACTAGTAGCTCCTAACGTATGAAGATTTATTATTCTGTTAATTATTGACATCAAAGGGGGAATGTATCTTTTTCTTTCTAGGAGTTTCGAACTTCAGAAATTCCTTTTGAATAAGTTTGACTGAATTTGCCAAATCCTGTTTCACATCATTGAAATTCATTTCTTTTGCTGTAATCCATCTTTCCGACTTATTTATCCTGAACAGTTAATATATGCTTGCTATGTAAGGAAGTAATTAGCAATTTAATTAAACATACCTTTCAGCGCTTCTTTCTCTATCAAGAGTGAATATTATTTCTTGCCATGCTCGTCTCTCCTGCGGTCAGTTAGTATATGCATAGGAAAAATATTTAAAAAGAGATAATTACCTTCATAGATTGATCAAGGTCTCTAATAGTAAGCTCCATCATACGAATGTAGTCATTGAAGATAAAGGCATACGCTTCTTCAATTTTGGACCAATCAAAATTATCGATTTGTTGGAAAGTGTTAAGATTTTTTAGCTTGTCAATTTGGGCTTTTGCTGATATTTTCACCTCTTCAAGTTCTTGATATCCTTCAATGGACTCCTTATCTACAACGATATTTCTACTTTGAAGAAATTTGCTTATTCCTGAAAGTGTTTCCATTTCACTAGTCTTGGTACTTGGCTCCATTAAATTTGCCGCCGGACATTCCCCATAATTTTTTTCATCGTTTGCCTTTTTTATTCTCTTCAGGGGAGTTTCATCTGCAGTTTTGGATAAATTCCTCTTCAGAGACGACGAATAGTACGAATTTTCCTGCTCCAAACTCGTAGGTGTTACTACCTGGTCAGATCGCCCAATCTCAGAAGTGGGAAAAATTGTAGCGTTAACATCGCAAGATGCTTCAGTGGGTTTAGCTTTCGAAACGGAATCCATGGGTAGATTACTACTCATCTTTACAGTGTTCTAATAACTGTTGTACGTTATGGTTACAAAATTTTTGCAGCTTTCAAGAAAGAATCGTAATACTCATATCGCGTAAATCGTTGATTCATACTAAACAAATAAATAAATAAATAAGTAAATGAATAAATAAATAAATAGGAATATATAATAATATATAAATAGTAGTGTATTATAATAACCAATGTCAATATTCTTCATTTCGCAAACATGTCTTACAACGTAGTCAAATTTTTGTGGGAAGTATTGTATCTTATATGTTGTGCATTGGAAACCTTCTTCAATTCTTGTAACCTTTCTCTCAAGTATGGAACATCTCTCAAGTTCTTTTCTAATACCAATCTCTCTTCCTCAAACTTCAATCTCTTAGTTGCGTCCAATTCACCGAAGAAATAACCACCTTTTCCATCGAATTTAAGCAAATAATTGTGGAAGTGCCATAACGCAGGTCTGTGTGCGACCGATAACAACGAAATTCCTAATTCTTGAGCATGCTTATACATAAATTGTTCCATTGTTGGGGAAACAGCCGAAGTACATTCATCCAAAACAGCAAATTTAGGCTTGTGGTAGTACAACCTAGCCATAGCCAATCTTTGTTGAGCTCCGACTGATAATTCTTCAGCCCAGTTACGCGTCATATTCCAAGGGTCTTCACCACTAAGCAAGTCATCTAACTGTAAAATTTTCATAATTTCGTCCAAATTCTTATCCGAGTTGGCGTCTTTATTTTTGTTGAATTCCTCAAGTGAATCCGGATAAATAATTTGTTCCCTCAAATTACCCTTACATAAATAAGCTCTCTGAGGTAAATAAAACATATTCTTAGTGGTTGGAATGGTTAAGTTACCCTCGTTGCATGGCCATAAGCCACCCAACATTCTGAACAATGAAGATTTACCAGAACCATTTGGCCCAGCAATCAACAAGTGTTGACCATGTTTGACACTAAAATTCAAACATTCAATCAAGGTGACATCAGCAGGAGTGACCAACCTAACGTCCTTAAAAGTGATTTCATCACCGTAGTTCACATTGTTGGAGGTTGAAAGTTGATCATTAGTAGCAAGTGCGTCATTTAATCTTCTCTTTTGAATTTTAACCAACGCTTCTTGGAAGTCGGCTACTCTAGTAGCATGGCCAAGAACTTGTAAAAGATATCTTCTTGAATAAATCAATCTGTCTAACGAGTCAGAAGCACTCAAAAGCAATCTTCTATTCGTAATGAAGTCAGCTGAGGCAGATGGATCTGGGTCTTTACCCAAATATCTGTTAATAAACACTGGGGCTGAACATAACACTAAACCAGCAGCCCCCCAAAAGTACTTCACAATAAAAGTTTGTGCTATTTCATGAATGGCCTTTTTCCAATATTCCATCTTCAAGAATCTCTCAAGTTGATAGTAACAATAATCAATATAATCCAATTCACGATTATAACCCCTTAAGAACGCAATTTCTTCGTTATTGGTGACAATCTTCGAGTGTGCCGATCTTAATTGACCTTCTAAGTTTGCTCTTTCAGCAGCAATCTTAGCGAAGGGAGGCGAAAAGAAACGTAAGATAATAGTCGAGAAATGGGCTATAATCCCCAATGCAAGACTACCTTCACCGCTCCCAACACCACTTTTTGATAACTCCCTTGCACATAACAACATATCCAATGTAGGCTTCAACAATTGGCCCGGCAAGCTCGACAACGCCTGGGCCAATCTTGCCACATCGGTGGAAATTCTTTGATCGGGATCTTTAATCTTGCTATCAGATAACTGGATCAATGAATAGTAGTTAGGATCAAGATTGTCAGGCAAATAGTCCTCCATGATGCTGTTATTCATGTTACTTCTCAAAGACCTCCGCAACATGCTCCTGGTCCATGTCAATAACGAATTGACCAAGGATGCCGGGAACCCAATCAACATCCACACCGCCAACAACTTCCCGAACACCTTGAGCCTTTTACTGACCAAAGCCCCCACCAATTTACCGTCCAAACTGGCAACTTTGATCGTCAAATACGCCCTTACCACCAATAACACCAAATGTGCCCCCAAGTACATCACTGCCAGATTTGTCCACCCTGGTATCGCTGCCCGGAACAACATAAGTCCCGCTTGCTTGCTGATTTTGGTCTTCTTCTTTCCCACTTCCTTCGAAACATCTTCTCCCTTGGTCTGTCTTGACCTGGTATTGGTTGCACCCGAAAAAGCAGCCGTAATCAAAAGAATATATGACGAGTTCAAAAAGAGCGACCTATTATTCTTGTATACATTGAACACCGCCAATGCAAAAGAGCTATCGGTAGCCTTTTTAAACGACATTTCTAACCCAGTAAAATTTATCTAACACACTATATTGTTTAGTTCTTCAATACTACTAAAATGTCTTGATTTATACCGTTAACCAGCTATTCTCTGCTTAAAAGCTACCATATATTACCGGGAGTGGTTCAATTTCACTGCGATTTTTAACTGTGGGGGGAATTTAAGGACCGCTTACATAATCTCTACGATGATGCTGACAAAATCGGTCTATCTATTCACTATATAAGGAAAAGACCGTGTAGAGTGGAATCATACTAAGTACTCCCTTTTGCCCTCTTGCCCTCCCGTTACCATCTATTGGGTTTGTAGTATGTCAGAAACCTTCTTCTTGCCCGCGTCGATTTTGGACTGCAATTCGTCCATGCGGTTATAATAGAAATAATTGGCCAAATCGGTGGTGTTATTGCAATCTGGGGTTTGACTGAGAAGCTTTTCGTACAATTGACAGATATCATCCACGGATGGAGCCTTCTCAAGCTTGAGCAGGCTTTGTTGTATGGATAATTGGGTACTGGCATGATCGAACCACTCGCGCGACACAGATCCTAGTTTCTGTTCGCTGGGCGTTACCGATGATGGTTCGATGAGACCGTTCATGTGGAGGAGCTGTGTTAACAACAACAAATCGCGTTTGGAGTAGGCGTTTGGGTCTGTGGGGTCTGTGGATACATTGGCTGAACTCATGGTTGTTATATTTGAGTGACAGCTGGTTTTGAGTTGAAGAATCAGTTTGGCGGTGCAACATTTTGACCTGATTCTATATGCGTAGAAGGGCCACAAACAAGATCGTGTCTTTACCATTTTGTCAACATTGATTTTTGAAATTAGACAGTACTGGCAGCAGGTAGTATGCAAAGTATTCTTTCTACACGAGAAAAGGTTCCGGATAGAGGTATATAGAGCATATGCGGACATAGAGATGACGACGCAGAAGCTATCACCGGATTTTGAAGAGCGGTTTGCCCGGATAAGCATCGATTTAACGGCTTGTGGAGCCAACGAGAGCCACGCCAGATTAGACCCCGAGATCACCAACCCTGAGACGGCAAGATCGTTTGGGGTGGTAAGATCTAGCAGAAAGAAGACATATCCGTCCCATCTATACCCAAATGGGATACCCAGTGCTAACTATACGACGCCATCTAAACAGCCCGTATTGTCTACGGCCAAGAGAGCCAAATCGAGAAACCTTTCGAATCAACTCAAAAATGCATCCAACTCTACGACCGATGATCATTTAGTGGTCACCACATCAAGAATTGAATCCCAGGATACGCATAAACATGGAAATAGGTCCATGTCTACCGTGAAACAGCCATCGAAGAGGATATTGAGTTGTCCGATGTCTGAAAGACCGAACCGGACGAAAGACCACCTGTTTTCTTTCATGAAGGAAACATCTTCATCGATGAACAAGCATGTGAATGTTTTCAACAGCGGTGTTGGAACTTCACCTACCCCAAATCGGGTATCCCATGAACCCCAGCCGCTCCCAAAGAGAGTCAGCTCATCTAACACGACAAAGAGAAGGCATCAACTAGAACATCGTACTCGTAATATAAGCGGGGGGAGCTACAATCATGGAGCACGAGAAAGAAGGATCATGTCAACGCAAGCACCTGTTACCAGACCCACCGATATTACCAATATAAGCTATAGCGTACCCACGCTGAAGTTTCATGAGATTAAGTCGAAAGATGAGAATTTAAAGATTTCTAACTACAATGGGTTGAGCTACAATATTCCTTATGACTCTATGAACTCGCCTTCGAAACATAGACATGTTTCTCAACCATTTACTCAGAAATCAAAAGAAGATGTATACAATAGGTTATATAACAATTCAAACAGTACTAGAACAAAGACAGGAGCCACTTCCCCCAAAATCCTAAATTCAAGACTGGAGTGCCACCAAACTAGGAACCAATGCCCAGAGAATGAATCGAATAATACAGAGACTCCAAAAATTCAGAATACACAGGAACTCTTCCTGATAATTTACCGGGAAGACCCTGATTTGTTTTCCCTTGGGTATACAAGACATAAAGATTTTAACAAAAGACAACATATGGATACCCAGAAGTTGACTTCCGGAATGAGTGGATGCTCAGGACCATTAAGCATATACGAAAGAGGTGAAATATTGAGAAAGAAGGATATATATTTTATGCCGAGTGAAAATGACAATAACTTGGAAAATGATCCCAGATCAATTAACGTTAGAAATTACAGCCAGAACTTTGGGTTTGATGATGATACCGGAAATTATATAATTGTTCCTCATGACCACATCAACTATCGTTACGAAATTGAAACAATATTAGGAAACGGTTCATTTGGAAATGTAGTGAGATGCAAAGATCACAAATATTTTGATGCTGACAATAATAACAAAACAGTTGCTATAAAAATAATCAAGAACGATATAAATTGGTCGTTACAAGCTGTATACGAAACCAAAATGTTAAAGCATTTAAACGAGAAAATGAAAGCCACTGAAAAAGCAATATTCGAAAAGGATTTCCCTATACTAACATACATTGATCATTTCCATTTTAGAGGTCATATGTGTATCATCTCTGAAACGTTATCATTAAATTTATACTCTCTACTAGAAATCATAAGATTTCGTGGCCTATCGTTAAATCTTCTAAGACTGTTTTCTAGGAGCATATTGACGGGATTAGACTTCATACATAAACAAAATATTATTCATTGTGATATAAAACCAGAAAATATCATGATTAAGTTGCCATCGAATTTCGATCCAAATAATGATGCAATAAATGAAAAAGATCTCGTGGTGAAGATTATTGATTTTGGCTCCTCCTGTTTTGATACGGAAATTTCCTATTCTTATATCCAATCGAGATTCTACAGAGCACCAGAAGTTGTACTAGGCGCCAGTTACAATAATATGATTGATATTTGGTCTTTTGGTTGTGTAATAGCGGAATTATTTTCAGGAGCACCACTACTTCCAGGTAAAAATGAGTTGGAGCAGATTGGCTTAGTATTAGAGTTATTTGGTGCCCCCAATAGCAGCCTTATTTTAGACCAAAGAAATAAGTTAATGAAATCAGCAAAGAGACAGAAAGCGGCTACTAATATCAATAACATTGTCCCGGATAAAGGTGTTGACCAATCAGTCATGAATAAAGTCCTCGTGGATGAAAAGACAATCCGAAAAACGCTTCTCTTTAGTCTTTTTGACATACTGGGGAAAATCAACTTACAATTCCTTAACATGAGAAGCCAAGCCGTCGCAAATACAACATCTTCAACAATAACAGGAGCTTCTGCTGTAAAGAAAAAATTCAAACCAAATTCTAAAAGTTTGGAGATTTTGTTACGTCTAAATACATCCAGAGAAAATAAAAAGGACATTCAGTTATTCTCTAAATTTTTGCATTCAATTTTTAAATGGAACTCTTCGGAACGACCTCCTGCATCAGAATTATTAAACGATTCATTTTTGAGGGAATTTTAAGGTAGATAAAGATATAGCCTAAATTAGACAACTATTCATCCATTATAATGTAGGATACATTGAAGTGACAAAAACGGCGGATCTGGGTCAAAAAAAAACAAAAGAACAAAATGCGAATTCTGTGGATCGAACACAGGACCTTCAGATTAACTGGACTGAAGTTGACTTCAGTCTGACGCTCTCCCAACTGAGCTAAATCCGCAGATTTCTTTACTTTTCCGACTCAAAATTTTACTATATATTTGCTATTGATATATTCGATACTTTTGGGACTACGAAAGGTACTCAGAATGACTACGACATTTGGAATAGACATGCAAGTCAATATATATAGAATTTCATGTGTGGTTCCATAAAATCAAGTCATTTATGTGAAACTGAAGAATTCTTGCTATAACGAGAATCATGTGAACCTATAATCTTTTGTCGCACAGTCCCCACAGTCATAAGACATAATTTTGATCTTTTTTATACTATATAATCGTTACTTAGCCATACTTGATAATGTCAGACAAAACTGGTAAGGATAATTCCAAGTATCGTGAAAGGGCCTCCATGGTTCTTTCGAAAATGTATGATAAAACAAGTGATATTGCTGGAAATAATTCAGGTAAGAATAAAGGAATTGCGGCAGGGACAGCAGCTTCTCTTATCAGTTTGGGAATTGATCGAATTAATCAAGGAAAGCCGGTGAATGAAACTGATGGTTTACCATATACAGAAGATGAATTGAATCAGTTGAGAGAATTGGAATCGGAAATGGATGACAGCAAGTCTTCTCATTTTGTCGATAGATTCATGGAGAAGTTATTGAAGCATGCCATTCCAACAGATGGACCAGAGAAAGAAATGCTTGAAAAGAGAATGGCTGATCCTGAACGACTCAAGAAACCGAATTTGTCAATTAGGATACTTACATCTAATTTTAAGAGATTAAGTTCGAAGATGAGCTCATTTTTCGTATTACAGTACGGTATGATTCACATTATCACCTGGAGAAAGCCTACTAAAACTTTATCATTTTTGGTATTCTATACATCAATTTGCTTGTGGCCACATCTTATATTGGCGTATCCAATGATTTTTCTTATATTCGGAGTCATGCTACCTGCGTATATCCATAGACACCCCATGAGAACCCCGGAATTGATAAAAGTTAAAAAAAGAGGGCAATCAATATTAGAGTTTTTCAACCTGTCAAATGATACCAGTGTTATTGAAGATTTGATTGGCAAAGATTATGATAATGATTCAGGTTCAGAGTCGGATTCTCTCCAACCTGTTATTTCTAAATCTTCTGATATATCTAGCATGTTCAGTAAGAAACCCGTATCAGCATCAAAATTAAAAGACGGTGATGTGAATGAAAATGTACAGAAGAAGGATAAAACTCGTCATGTGAAGTCACAGATGACATTGTTTATTAATATGAGAGATTTACAGAACTTGACTACAGATGTTCTTAATGGGATTAACAGCGCAGAGAAATTTTGGTATGAAACTGCTGGTTTTAAGGACGAAAGGCTTTCCACATTTATATTTTATGGAGTGATTGCTGCTACTTCCATAGTGTTGGTATTTGGACGCTTCATTCCTTGGCGATTAATTTTTATTCAATCGGGGTGGGCTGGACTTATAGTTTGTCATCCAAATAGTAAGAAATATATTATGAGTATTAAAAAATCAAAGAAGGCAAAGAAGTCAAAGGAAGTAAAAGAATCCAAGGAGAGAGAGGGTAGATTTGAGAGGCACGATATTATTATTGATGATTCTGCAGAAATAAGGATTGTAGAAGTGTTCGAATTACAGAACAAGAACATGCTGAATAATCAATGGTCTTTCCATAGATATACAAGCAATATGTTTGACATTAAAAACCACGCAAGAGCAGCAGGAAAAAGGCCTCTTGGGGTGGATGAGTTATCAAAGGTGTTACCTCCTCCCGATTGGAAATTCGATATGGGTTATGCCAATAAATGGGAGATTGACACTGATCCAAAAAAGTTTTTTAGGGAAAGAAATATCAATAATCCTTACTTACAAGTGCATGAAGATGAGAAAGAAGGCTGGATATACGATAAATTAGATGGGGTAGACAATCTGGATTCTAGTTATGAGTTTAGAAGAAGAAGGTTATCTAGGGAATGCTACAGATATTCTAGACCCCCTGTAATCCCAAAGAGTACATAGGATATATTTATTTATTACAATAGTTTCTTTTTGATACAAACGTCGTAAAAATTCCTTTAATAATCACTCATCTTCTAGTCCCGGCATGCCTTCGAACAACCTACCATAACAAGGACTCTCAAAGTTCTTATAATGGTCGTAAGGTCGAGAGTGATCCAAATAACAACCACATAAATTACAAAAAAATGTACGACACGAGGAGCAGCACATTTTATTACATCCATCCAACCTTTGAATGATGATTTCGCAAGTAGGGCACTTTCTTAAACCTTGGTTTTCATCATTCAACATATCATTAAACATCTTGTCCATTAGATATTCGTTGGCCATTTTACGGATCAAAGCTTTTCCATAAAGATATCCCAATCTAATTCGTTCCTTTGAATTTTCTCCACTTTCTAACCACAAGTCCAATCCCTCTAGAGGAATATCAGAATACATATGACTCTTATCCTTTTTGACGCATTTATAATAAGTACCGTGCCACGATTTATGACAATCATTGCAAAATGCGTATTTGCATCTTCGACATATTACTAAGGGATCGCTTGTATTTTCCCTAAATATTTGTTCTGGACATCCTGTCCTAGGGCATGAAACCAACCTAGCAGGAAACAATTTCGAAATAAGATCATACTGTTGTTTTATGAAAAGATCTTGATATCTTTTAACCATTTCTTCCGAACTAGAGCCCGAATCTTTAAATTTCAAGATTCTGGATAAAAGCTCAAAGGATATAGGTGGAGTCATGATATTAGCCTTAAATTCATTAAAGTTGAATGTATCTATATTTATGCCATCCAATCTCAAGTACTTATCTTTTAGTTGGATAAACTTCTTGGTACACTCAAAATGAGGACAGTGGACCTTGTCAATATCTCCTGTATTAATCAACGATATAAAATAATCATAAAGACAACTGTTACAAAATACATGACCACATGAATCAAACCTAGAGCAATTTGCACCCTTGAAGTCATCCTGACAAATATCGCAAGTAAATGTTTCGTTATCAAACTGTGATTTCACTTCTGACACGTTAAACTCCTGGAAATTACGATACTTCTCAACGTCAGTACCACAATCTATCACTGGACCAATTAGCGTTTCTAGATGGTTATCGATTTTTTCTTGTATAAAATCGATCAGTGCATAAAGAACTTGGTCTTTAAAATCATCCCACAATTTATGCAAACTTGTGTAAAGCGACTCCACATCATTATCGGATAGGACTGTCGTATTAATATAGAATTCTGGTGGCTCTTCAAAAGGATATTTCTCAGTTACTCTGAATGTAAGCTGTACAGGAGGAAGGTTTTTAATTTTATCTTTCCTTACATGCATATCCGTACTTTCAGTAGCCAGATCTATTTGCAATTGTTTATCTGAAACCCGTAAGTTTCCATCATGTAATATGATTTCGATATCTTTTTCAAGCCGTATTGGAATAATGGCAGATCCTGTCAAGTTTTTATAATCAATGTCTGCTGTATTAGAATATATTGCTTCTAAAGACTGTAGCTCTTGTATTCTAATATCTTCTGAAAATTCCTCAGATCCATTATCATCCAGTAACTGTTCCGTATCCATGATTATCCATTATTTTTTAAAATTATTGAGGTGTATCTGATCTAATGCTAAGATAAATGATGAGTTTTAATCGCATGAAATTTCTCGCAGAAAATTGAACACCATTTGAAAAGTTTACCGTTAAAGATCAGTTTATAATCTAAGATAACGATACATTAATATCTTCTAGATTCGTAAATAGTATTATCAATGGAATCTTTTACTACTAAAGTACGAACTTTTGATGCTTTTCCAAAGGTTGATGCAGAACATACTGTTAGATCATCGAGAGGTGGATTTTCGACATTAGTCACTATTGTCTGTGGGTTATTGATACTTTGGGTAGAAATAGGAGGGTTTCTTGGTGGATATGTAGATCATCAATTTACAATTGACGACAAAATAAAGTCAGATTTATCACTTAATATCGATATGTTAGTTGCCATGCCATGTGAATTTCTTCACACCAACGTCATGGACATCACCGACGACAGATTCTTGGCCGGTGAATTATTGAATTTCGAAGGGACCAACTTCTTCTTGCCCCAACACTTTGAAATAAATAGCAAGAATGCCGATCATGATACACCTGACTTGGACCACGTCATGCAAGAAACCTTGAGGGCTGAATTCAGAGTAGCAGGTGCCCGTGTCAACGAAGGAGCACCAGCTTGTCATATTTTTGGCTCCATACCAGTCAACCAAGTTAAGGGAGATTTTCATATCACTGGAAAAGGTTTTGGATATAACGATGGAAGACTGAACGTTCCATTCGAAGCGTTGAACTTCACGCATGTCATTTCGGAATTTTCGTATGGTGATTTTTATCCATTCATAAATAACCCGTTAGACTTTACTGGTAAAGTTACCGAACAAAAGCTACAATCTTACAAGTACTACTCTAAAGTTGTTCCTACTATTTATGAGAAATTAGGCATGATAATTGATACAAACCAATATTCTTTGACTGAACAACACAATGTATATAAAGTTAACCGGTTTAGTAAGGTCGAAGGTATCCCAGGCATTTTCTTCAAGTATGAATTTGAGCCTATAAAATTGGTTATATCCGAAAAGAGACTTCCGTTTATTCAGTTTGTGTCTAGATTGGCTACCATTATCGGAGGTTTGCTTATTGTAGCTGGATACCTCTATCGTTTATACGAAAAATTTCTCACGGTATTATTTGGTAAGAGATATACAGAAAGAGACACAGAAAAATTGCGTGGTGGTTTGCTTGACAGGGATTCTCCAAAAATCAAAAAAGACTATTGATGCCTAGCATATATATAGATTTTGTTAGAATGTCAAATGTAATATGTATGTCCTAATTAGGAATGTGTATGCGATCGTATTTTTCGTTATCATTTTTTGAAAAATTGGATCTACTCCACTCGTATTGGGTATAAACTATTCACCTTTTGAAAAATTCGTATCGTACGATGATTTGATCATAAAACGTGTAATATGACAGTAAAAAATAAAAAGAGATCTCTGTCTTCGGACTACGGAGAGAAACCTAAGATAAAGAGATCTAGAAATGGGTGTCACAATTGCAAAAGACTTAAGATAAAGTGTGACGAGTGTAAACCTAAATGTTCATACTGTATTAAAACCGACACCAAATGTGATTATTCTATGAAATTGACATGGGGTGGCAGACCATATAAGAATGAAACTAAGCGAAACAAGCTGGGATATGCAAATAGGACGCATACTTTTGAAGGGATCAAGCCGGAATTGAACTCTAAACAAGGTACGGAGAACGATAAGATTCAATTTATTGTTGAACGAACGAATATGAATGAAATCAAGACAGAATCGAGTGATAAGTGGAAGATTTCGTCAACGTCGACGAACTCGACAGACTCGAAGAACCAGGTTAACGATGATCTGGAGAAGAAGCTTAGCCCTGAGGACATGGACGGGAAAGGTGCAAAATCAAATAACTCTTTCGATGAAACAGAATTATCAAAACCATCCAACTTAATGAACACTCTCAACTCACCACCAGCATTTACAACACCGAGCGGTGATTCAATCCTAAGCGATTTCAATACTTTTCCACATCATCAGAATTTCAACATTCTTAGTACCAGGACACCTAACCAGGACTTGAATGATTTGCAGAATACCAATGAAAATGATCCTGTTTCTATAAGTGTTGTTGACAAAGCATCTAAGATTGAAACTCCGAGGGAAGACAATTTAAATTCAATTATTGATAGTATTCCTGAGATTTCAACAGGTATTGAAAGCTTATCAAATGAGTTGGAGAGAATTTCCAATGGTGGCTATCTGCTTAATTTAAAAACCTCTGAGATTTTGAATAACTATATGCTCTCAAATTTGGATGAAAGTACAGAACATCCCACAGACAAAGGCTCAAACACGAACAGATTTCATAATAAGGACTTCGTCAGCACTCAAACTCCGTGGAGTCCTTCTAGTGATTTGAATCTTGACATATCAGACTTTAAGGCAAGCAGACCACTGTCAAGATTAGAAATAAGAGAGGAAGCATTTAATAATTACTCAGATGATTTGGCAAAAATTGAAGCTTATCTTCCAGAGAGACAAAAGTCTAATCTATTGGATGATTTTTTATCTTCAACAAATTCAATTAGTCTGTTTGCGTACAACATTGGAAGTAGTAATAAAGTCAGGGAAATTGAAGAAGATGAGAATGAAGAAGAGAGCAATCAGCGGCTGCTTCACGATATTGATATTGACCTGGATTTTATGAGTTCCATTGGAACATCGACAAAAGAGCCCAACAAACATATCTTAACCGATGCTGAGTTATTTGAATCTATTCCACCCCTGCTTGTTCCTTTACCAGAAATTTTAATAGAGGTGCCGTTTTATCGTAATCTTATGCATTTTTGGGTAAATGTTGCTTCCCAAAACTTAGTCCCAGCACCATCATACATTTATTCTGACAATCCGTTCAAGGTACTCTTACCACAGATGGCTATGGAATACCCATCTATTCTCACCACCCTATTGGCGTTTGCTGCTTCTATCAGATCGCTGCTTCTAGGACCGGAAAATATACCTACAAAAATTGTTGATCAATTATTAGCAAGATCATGTAATGAGTTGTTGAAGCTATTGAAGGATAAACATGAATCGACGTCAGATGGAACTTTAGCCACTGTTTTATTACTTTCGTGTTATGAATCTTTCCAATCGAATGATTTTGATAGACATAGAACACATGCATTAGGTGCAAGGCAAATAGTTATGGCAAGACGTTGTTTCTTGCCATGTGAAAGTCCGGAATCGGATAAAAGTACGCCTTCATCTACATCGAGTAATCTGAACTCAAGGGGTAAGGAGAGTGATATAGCGTTCTTTTTGATGAGATGGTTTATCTATGTGGATGTAATGGGTGCATTATCTGCGACCAAGAATTCTCATAAGTATTTGACATCTGAAAATGGGCATTACCAGCCGATTGAATCTGTAGCTAACTTGACAGATTTCGATAACAACGCATTAGATATTGACAGGAAAAGTGATATTGACCATTTGCTAGGTTTTGACATACGCGTGTTACCCCAACTAACTGATATCGCTTTGCTTATCAGAAAATCGGATTCGTACTTAGAACAAGCTGGCGATGACTGTAGCACGTTACCAATAACTATCATTACTGCAGCTTTAGAAGTCAAAGAAAGTATCACTAGTGCTTATGAAGTTGGCGAGGCCAGACGTCAGGCAAAACTTGACAGCATCATAGATTACAAGATCCAACGCAAAAGAGAAACTCATAGAACCGACTCGCCTCCGAATTTAAACCATATAATGCAACAATATGACATTCTAAGAGCTACAAATAAAATCTTTTGTGATATGGGCCTTCTTAATTTATACCGCCGTGTGTTGTGTGTGCCCCGTGAATCTCCCATAATACAGGACTTAGCTGATGGTATTGGACAGATATTAGAATTGACAATTGAATCAAAGTCGTCTGCAGAAATCTGTTCCATATTCGCCTTATTCTGTGCTGGCTGTGAAACTTTAGATCCAAATATGAGATCGCTCTTTTACAATAGATTTACAAAACTCACAGAAATGGGGAATGTCAATGCAATGAAAAGTCTTCAGATAATGTCCAGATGCTGGAACACAGGTGAAGATTGGATAGTTGCTTCTAGAAAATTAGATATAGATGTAGCACTCTTATAGAGAACCTCTGTATAATAAAATCCGTGCAGGATAGATCAATTTCCATGGTTACTACACGCGTAGGTATTTTTTTCTTTGAATCAATATATTTATATATACCCTAGTGTATTCTTTAATCGAGTGGTTCTAGAAAGAATTAGACTAGAAGACAAGGTCTGTCAGGTAGATTAGAATAGAGAAAAATCTAATTTACAGAATCATAATTTCATAAATTGTGATCGAAGTTCTAATGTCAGAATCAGAGTTGAATCACTCATCGGACCGTAAACCAGAAGGATTCGATCAGTTGGTGAATGATATAATACTTACACATAAAGAACCAGGGAATAATTCAATACAAGAAGTTGTATTGCGAAGATGTGTTAAGTATTTAAATGACAATAATTCGGGTCGCCATTGGTTTTGCGATCCTTACATATATCCTGTAGCTGTCCATACTATGATTCTATTTTCTTTCCTGGATAATGATGTTATACAGTGGCTTAAGCCTAAGATGGCTGATAGTCTTGATAAATGTGAAAAATGTATATGGTATTTTAATAGAGGGAAATCAACTCTTCGTGACAATTTTGCAACGAATAGAAATATTCCTATAAGACAAGTTAATCAGTTTTTAAACATAATATTGGAGTGGGAAATATCGAGACTTGTGAATGTGATGATGCCTTTCAAGGCGGAAATTGAACTTGGAAATGAACCTCAAGTTACATCCAAAATATCGAATGCTATCATTGAATGCTTGATGGGTCCAAACATTCTAAGGAACCACGAAGAAATGAGAAATTGTTTCTACAAAATCCTTAAATACTTACGTGATACTAATAACTTTCCATCGCCCACTTATTTATTACCGGGTACAATTTATTTAATGTTTGAAGGAATAGACGACTCGAAAAAATGGGCAATCGAATGGACAGATGCATTAATAGAACGATCCACTAAATATTCTTCGGATGAACTCGATAATATAATCGTTGATGAATTCAGTATTCACTTATATCAGATTCAAGATGCTAAATACTTCACAGATGATATATGCATTCAGTTTTGGCAAAACTTTCTAAGGATATATAGTCTCTTAGAAAATGATGCATTTTTAAATAAATTAAACAAACCCAATGATATTGAAGCCATGAGCAAATACACAAACATAAGACTATATTCATTGACTCGGGTATTTTTTAATAATATCATGTCTTTTTTAGATAAGCCACTCCCAATTCTATTGAAAGTTTTAGGTGAATTCCTTTCTAAACTCAAAGTTGAATTTTGGTCCCACTCATCCCCTTATTCCTTTGTCAATATATTGGATACAGTCCTAGGGAATCCATATTTTAGTTTTTACTTGTTTACCTTGAACAAAAATAACCAAAAATCGATATCCGATGTTACCTTTCCCGAAGCAATGGCATGGATGAAAAATTTATCAGATTCTTTAACTGGATCCCAAAAGCAAACTGCATGTGTTAGACTGGGAATGTTTTTGCTCACATTGCTGCCTAATACTGTAAAGCCACCTATTGATTTAGCAATTGCCGAAAAAAGAACGGTTGATCTATCTCAAACAGGTTATTATTTGTTATCGCAATGCTTCATATTAAGTGATGATGAAATTAAACTAGGCGACAAAGGTTTCTCAGTAGAATTGCTTAAAAGAAGAGATGCCAGGGCTACAGTCGAGAACCAAGCAAGGGCTTTAGTTGACACGGCATTTGAAACATCTACTGAGAAATCTACGTTAAAAGCTTCTGCAACTGAATTAATTCTCAAAGTCACTTCGTACGATATTTTGTCTTTGGCACAAAATTCTAACCTTCTTTTGGATGACAAGATTCCAACTTCATTTGATATGTTTCCAATTTTATGGCAATGTTTGTCTCAAAAGCAGATTCATACCAATGTTGATTTAGGCATGGGTCTTTTTAAATCTTTAAGATTTATTTGCAATGTTATCAAAATTAATTCGAAGAAAAATGAAGATCCCGCTAATAAAGGTTTTAATGAAGCTCGTAATCAGCATAATTCGAACGTTTCACTGATATTGGGATACTGGGAAATTATACTCGGAAAGTTAGGTTTAGCAGATCCATCTACTTTGAAAGAAATATTTGGTAAAGAAGAAGCGATTCTGATTGGGTTTTGGTCTTCTCTTTTTTCGCCTTATGTAAATCAGGCTGCCCTTGATGTCGTGTACCAAGTCTTTGATGTTGGCGTAGGTGGACGTTTTGAGACAATGCAAGCTTTGATTGATTCCCATTTTGATTATACGTTGATCGCCATTAACGCAAATATAAAAAGCTTAACGAAGATGGCGGCATTTGAGCCATGCCCAAAAATAATCAGAATTCTAATGGATGTCGTTAAGGCTCTTTCAAATCCTTTAAATGGTTACCTCATTACATCTTTCAATGCTGAAAACAATAAACTATATTTGGAAAATCTATGGAATACATGTTGGCTGTTTCTAGTGATGGTTTACCGTAAAACTTTAGTATGGGCATCTCAATATCATTTAGAAGAATTGATTGAATTCACAAGAGATACGCTTGATTTGAGCGATTTGTTATTGGATTCGTTCAGAATTATACATTCCACAATTCTGGATGAAACAACTGATAGGTCGCATTCCTTATTTAGGGCGTTTATGAATGCGTTCACTTATGCTATTGTCTGGCTAAGACTAGGGGATACATCCTTATTAAACTCTTGTGTTAACTTAGTGTTTAAAGGACTTGACTTAGCAAAGGAACTTGAATATTCTATCGATACAGAATTTATTTCTACCTTTGCGAAGTATGGAGCAAAGGCCAAAAAATTTAATAATAAGTTAACTGATCAGCAACGTTTACAAATACTATCTAAAGCAAGAGAATTTGATGACGACTTGGTTGATTTTATAGTAAATGAAACTGAGCAACAGAAGAATAAATCTAGAAATATTCTGCAAGAGCCTCGTACTACTTCTGAAACAGATTCCACTCCAGAACCAGCTACTTACAAATATCAAACGCACATTAAACAGCCTAAGCAACAGACGTTAGGTAGATTTGGTGTTGTGACATCGGCACCCCCCGTTGCACCACCACCTCCACAAAAGGGATTCAAGTCTGTGGGCCTTGAAGCTATTAGACAAGAATTGAAAAGTTCAAGATCTTCTCTTAGCAAACCTTTATCATCTTTATCACCAACTCTAGGCGTTGCTCCAGCACCACCTAGACCTGCGGGGTTCAATAACAAGAGAGCAACCCCTATTGGTCGTTCGTTACAATCATTAAGAAGAAAAAGAGCTGACTCGGAATCATCTGAAGAAGAAGAAGCTGATGAGGACGTTGACCTTTCTGATTTATTTGTTGATAAGAAAAAATCCAGACCAAAAGTTGTTGAAGTTGATATCAACGGGAAGCCTGTAACTAAATCTAGTAGACTCAAAAAGGTAGACCAAGCACGGAAAGATGAAGAGAACATGAGAATGAGATTAAACGTTAATTTGAAGCCACTTTACTCAACTATTCTCAAGTGGAATTATAATTCGACTAGTATTTTTCCAACTGCTGAACGTGAAATTTATAGGGAAACTAAGGATGTATATGCAGATGCAAAAGATTATACTAAGACAATAGAACCGTTATTAATGCTTGAATGTTGGCAAGGGATTCAGTCTGCCAAGCAAACAGGTCAAGAATTGCCATTTGAACTTATGATTGGCAGTAGAACTAGCTGCGATGGATTTTTTGACGTCTATGCATCTGTGAAAAAGAGCGAACTTAATGATAGGAAGATAGGTGATTCTGACTTATTAGTATTGGGGGATTCTAGCGACCAACAATTTTCTAATTTGAATAAAGTAGCGACATATTTGAAATCTCCTCAAACTACAACCTGTTTGGCTAAGGTGAGAGAAATTAAGTCTGCAAATGCAGACTTTTGCGATATAACTTTAAGGGTATATCCCCAAGGATCTATGATGGGTATTCTAACACCTAAGAAACTTATGACGGCCATGCGTGTTATGCAAATGGTTACGATTGAAAGAGAATATTCTTCGTTGAAAGGGTTGCCATATTATGACTTATGTGATTCAATACTTCTGTCAAGGCCTAACATTCCAATTGATATTAGTGATTCTGATGCAGATAGAATGCTATCATTATATGACGTAAACAGATCACAAGCCAAGGCTATTATGGGATCCTACAATAGCGACGGATTTTCGTTAATCCAAGGTCCCCCAGGTACTGGTAAAACTAAAACTATTCTTGGAATTGTAGGGTATTCTATATCGCATCAACAAAAAGAAGGTACTATTAAAATTCCCAAAGGAACAGCTGATAATAACCCTCTTCCAGGTGGTAAAGGTGAATCAAATGGGCCTAAGATTTTAATTTGTGCTCCAAGTAATGCAGCCGTAGACGAATTAGTGTTGCGTTTGCGTAAAGGTGTTAAAACTTCTAAAGGAGAATCAATAACACCTCGTGTTGTAAGATTAGGCCGTAGTGATGCTATAAATGCAGCGGTGAAGGATTTGACGTTGGAAGAATTAGTCGATAAGCAATTACAAGCTCAATCTGTCAATACGACTAGTGATCCTAAAATTAGAATGGAACACACTAAGTGCATAGCCGAACGAGACAGATTGAGAGAGGAATTAAGGAAGCCTAACTTGAAAGAGGAAGAAATAAAGGTATTAGAAACCCAATTACGAGATACTAATAAAGCTAGAAATGAATTGGCGAAGAAGTTAGATGAACAACGAGAACGTATTTCGATTGCATATCGTACCAAAGAAATTGAAAGACGTCAATTACAAGCGAAAATTTTAAACAGCTCACAAATTATATGTTCTACATTATCAGGTTCCGCTCATGATTTCTTAGCGAATATGTCGATGAAATTTGATCAAGTAATAATCGATGAAGCGTGTCAGTGTGTGGAATTATCTGCAATTATTCCATTAAGATATGGTTGTAGGAAATGTATTATGGTCGGTGATCCTAATCAAT